TTATATTAATCCTAACCCTATCATCAACCCTAGTAATAACGGGCTTCCGAAACCCATTCACCAAAGCCCCAGAGGCAGCACCATTCCCGGGCCCATGACTGCCAGTAACCTCTGGTACTTCATCAACTGGCGCAGTCACTGCCACCTCTGATTGCTCTCGCTCAGGAGGGTCTTCTCTAGCAGTACTCGGCAGCGCTTCTTGCTCAGCTTCTGGGCCATTGCACCGGGGCGGCTCATCTTCTCCACCATTAGGCAATACTTCTTCCTGTCCACCAGTAGGTTGCATCTCAGGCAGAGCTTCACGGCCACTGCTCGGGGAAGGCTCTTCTCTGCCACCACTGGGCACGGCTTCTGGCACGTCAGGCAGAACCTCTTGGTCTTCTCTGTCACCATTAGATATCGGGTCTTCTCCACCACTGGGCAACAACTCTTGGCCACTGGTGCCTTCCTCCGGCAGCGGTCGAACAACGTCTGAGGTCGAAGGCTCCCCCTCGGATCTCGACTGCGGCTGCTCTTGCGAACAAATTCCATTTTGGGCAGCTAAGGTTTCTGCCGAGGAGAGCTCTAAAGTCGCGTTCTTGCCAAAAGATTCATTTTTGGCGGGGCACGAAGAGGTGGGCTCTGTGTCACCGGCGGTGGACGCTGCTGCTGCGGCGGCGGCGGCGGTCGGCTCGGCAGCAGCGGTGGTGGAAGTGGTGGCAGAATCGTTATTTGCAGATTCTAATTGGGCCTTTTTTCTGAAATTTCTTCGGGTATAGACTTTGCTATTATCCCCCCACCGAACCCTCTCTCGAACATTCAAATCGGAATTACTATCATTAGTCCCTAAAGTCCCTGAATCCATACAAACATCTAAATCAGGAAAAAAAAAGCCCTAATCTTTCAGCCCTCAAAACCCTAGATATTAAGAAATCACATAAATTCCCAAACAGCTAGGGTTTCAATAAAAACGTCAAAATCAGATTCCCAAAAACCCTAGTTCGATTGACACACCATCAAAATAACAAAAATAAAAAACTATTATAATTATAACCAAACAAAAATCGGAATCCTACGGGCTAGGGTTTTGTTTTAAATAGTTGAAACCGAAAGAAGATGAAATTTTTTGAAGACAGGTGGATCTGCAAGTTTTTTTTTCCTTTAGAAAATATTTTTATAAAATAAAAATAAAATAAAAACAGGGGTGAAAAATCGAAATAAAAATTGGAATTTTAGGGTTTGTTTTCTTTTCAGGAAACAGAGGAGAGGGGCAAATAGAGAGAGAAAGAGAGAAGGCGAAGAGAGAGAGTGCGATTGAGAAGTGAGGTGGTGGTAGATCCGAACGCTACTCGCCCGGTTTTTAATTTTCCATTTTTGTTGGGGTTAAAACTCCTAATTTTGGAAAAATATTTATTAGACGCGCTCACGATTCACGATATTTCTAGCGGCCGGGTGGCTGAGTGACGTCAGCTGTGAGGGCGGAGTCTCAGTTGTGGTGATTCACAAGCGCTGGTTGTGCGATTGTTTTTCGTTCTCCACGTGCGAAGGGTATCGACAATTTGTTTTTATTTATAGGGAAATTTTTTTTTTTTTTGGATTGTAAGTGTTTTGTTCTGGCGTTGGCTGTTCCCGTCCGACGCACTTTGGTTGTACGGAATAGTTTTCCAAATCAACTTTAACTTCGTCTCATAATACTACTAATATGTGACTTGATCTAATTGGGATTTGAAAAATTATTTCAACACTTCTAAGCATTTTTAAAATTGATTTATATAAAATTAGAACTTTGTATTTTGGATAGGAATTATTTGCCTTTAATTTTGTCAAATAATATGATTTACTAAATAATTTGATTTTAAGTTCGTTTGGAATTTGAAAAATTATTCCAACACTTCTAAGCATTTTTAAAAATTGATTCATATAAAATTAAAACTTTGTATTTGGGGAGGAATTATTTGTCTTTAACCTCGTCACGTAATATGATTTACTATATACTTAATCTTAAGTTCCGTTTAGGATTTGAAAAATTATTTCAGCACTTCTAAGCATTTTTTCAAGTTGATTTATCAAACATTAGAACTTTGTACTCGGACAGGAATTGTTTATCCAAAAAATTATTTATTTACATTACAAGCGTATTTTTCGACATATCACTTTGTCTTCTCGAATTAGTTTGGGGCCTATTTGTCAATTCATTTTCTTAAACGACGAGCTTAGAAATTGAATTTTTTTTTTTTGTCAAAACTAAAAAAGAAACGAATTTCACGAAAAAGTTATATACTAGCCCGTCTTTTCCGTACTGAAGCCCAAGTGCCCGGCGTTTTCGCTTCCCAAATCTCTTTTCTTTTCACCCCAAAATTTAAACTCCCCGTTGTAGATTAGGGCAGCCAGAGAATTAGAGCGCGTACAACGTCGTTGGCTGAAGGTACTGCTTTTATCTCTTGTTATAATAGTTTGTTTACCTTCTCATGCCTTGTTCTGTTCCTGTTAATTCCACGCTTCTATGTTTTTGATTTTTCACAATCAAGTTAATCAATCACACCCTTTCTTTTCTCGCTCATGGTAGTTGAAATTTGAGTGAATAATTTTTCGGCAATTTTTACCATTTTCATATACTATGCGTTGGATTATGGATACTGTTTATGTAGATAAAGGTATAGATTCCTGATTCATTCTTAATTTTTTTGATGAATTGAGAAATTAGAGTTTATTTTCCGCAATAAAATTACTGTAATGGAATAATGGGATTGAATTTAATTATGTAGATTTCTGTATTGAAGAAGTAATGGAAGAAGGGATATTTGATGATGCGACGGATCAAATTTCGCAATTGCCTGAACCCATTTTGCAGCATATTTTGTCTTTCCTTGAGGTTAAAGAAGCAATTCAAATGTCTGTTGTGTCGAAGACTTGGAATAATGCAGTTGCCATGCTCCACTCATTGAATTATGGAGATGGGAGTCTTTTCCCTGTTGCAAAAAGAAACGAAAATGAGGAAGCTGTATTCGACAAAATAAGAGAGCTACTGAATGGTGTTGAATCCATGATTCGGAAAAGGCAGGAGCAGAATGTAGGCGTGCAAAAGTTCTGTCTTCGACTGTCGCATAGCTATAAGTTGTTAGATTTGACACCTTACATTATCAGGTTGACGAAAGAACTTAGTGCCTGCAACATAAAGGAATTGGTATTTAAGGTCGGAACGTACCGGGGCAAGCCGTGTTATACCTTGCCCAAAGCTGTGTATACTTGGTGTTCATTGCATAAGCTTGAGTTAGGAGGATTCAAACTCAAATTGCCTTCACGTGGTGGTATAATAAGCCTTTCGTCTTTGCGTGAGTTGCGATTGTACAAGACTGATATGGATCATCGAGTATTTCAGCTTCTGATCATGAGCTGCCCTGAGCTAGAGTTTCTGAGTGTTGATTATTGCCTTGGTTTGGATCGTCTACAAATTTTTGGGTTACTGAAATTGAAAGAGATCAGAACGCGTAACTGCCTCCAGAATTTTGACAAAATTCAGATTCAAGCACCAAATCTTGAGTGCCTCAATCACCATGGTCTGGGCACATTATCCCTGGTTGATGTGAATTCTTGCAAAAGTTTGAAGGTTTTAGTTTTATATTCCCTAACCTGCGATAATAAGTGGGTAGAGGACCTTTTTTGCAATCTTCCCCTCCTTGAGGTTTTCAGGTTGATTGGCTGTGACGGACTGGAAATGGTTAAGATCTCGAGTAATCATCTTAAAGTATTGGAGCTTGACTCATGCAAGAACCTTGTTAAGACTGAAGTGGATGCCCCTCTTTTATCTGAATTCCATTATTGTGGCAGCCTTTCAGTATCTCTTTCCATAGAAGCTGTAGCTAAAGAGTTGGTTTCCCTGGATATAGAGCAGAGAACTGATGAGGTTCTATTGAATAATGAACTTGTGGAGTTTCTCCAAAACTTCAATCATTCAAAGGTCATTAGATTGATTACTGGCGAGCTACTCAAGGTATTAGTTACATTTGTTTGACATACAATATCTTGAATGACATGCTTATATATACACTATCTTTTGTTGTTATTTTTTGTTAAGATAACAAGGTTGATATCCTTAAGGGACAGCCTATTGCAACCGTTAATCTTGCTAATTCTCTAGTAGTGCAATTAATCTGATGCCATTATTTGCTTTTATATTGCAGTTGTCCCTCGCAAAAGACCTGTGTCCGCCACTCTATGATGTCAAGCATTTGACTGTTAATTCAGATGGAGTGGATAAATCAAAGATTTTGGACCTTTTGGATTCTCTTCTTTGGATGGCTCCTTGTTTGGATACTCTAGACCTTAATCTTGCTTGTGATGAGAAAACTGTCAAGGTATGCAATTTCCCTTCCAAAGTATGGTCTTATGTCCATATGTTTCCTATTGATGAAGCATCTTATCTCTCTCTTGGAAGTGAGTGGTGGATGATTATTGGTTTTTAATTACTGTTTCTTTCAGGAAAAAAAATATATGTTCGACTTTGATTTTTTTGGTGAATTTATGCTAATACCCGAAAATTACCTAAATTTGAAATTCTTATTGGTCATTAGTGCTAATACTAGAAGGTATGGGTACACAGTAGTATGAACCTTCTATTTTTGAAAACATATAGTACCTTGTCCTTAAAACTCACGAAGGTAGAATCTTGGCAAACATACATCTTCTGTTTTTTTTCTTTTGGTTTAATGTTTGCCCTCTCTTAGAAAACTTCTTATAATTAGCCTTGTCATAAATTCATTCTTTAGACTGGCTGCTGGTTCTGATTTTCATTTGCTTTTCTGATTCAGTTCACTCGTGAATCTCCCCTGATAGTGGAGGGTGTCCCCTGTTGCCCATCCGTACCCTTCAAATGTTGGCACCATACCCTAAAAAAAGTCGAATTTGATAACTTTGAAAATGTTGAAGATCATTGGAAGCTGCGGAATTATTTCGTTGAGAACGCAAAGATATTAGAAAGTATTGATGGTCTCATACAATGTGACAGAGCTTGAATCATGCATGAACCTGCTTTCCCGAACGCTACTTGGAGAATAACATTTAAGTTGTTGGATCTTGGATATTCACGTTGTAACTTGACCAAGTGTCATTGACCTTGTTTTGTAGCTTGAATCAGAAGTATCATCTTGCTCATTGTGCACTTCACCAGATTTTACCCGATATTTTCTGTTTGTGGGTCGGCTGTGGATGAAGAGGATAGCCCTTCGGCAGACTCTCAATTCTGAGTTTAACTTTGTATTTGTGTCTCGACAATCACCAGTACCAGCTATCAGATCCTCAATATAGCTCCTAAAACCACATAGGTAAACACCCAAACAACAAAAATATAGGAAGGGCGAGACTTAAAAAATAGGAAGGTGACGGGGGATTTGAACTCAAGATCTCTAATACCTATTGTCTTAACTTTAACCATTAAATCAATGTTTTATTGGCTAAAACAACAAATAGAGTTTAAAACAAGGATAATGTGGTAAAACATAACAAATTTTATTCACTCATTAAACAATGTATCTCTTAATTTATTCCTTCCATCCCACTACAAATACTACATCACGCACAATATACAAGCAAAAATTGAAGACTTAGTAATTAATAGAGTAAAAGGAATAGTAGTACAAAATTATGACCATGTGAATCATATTTTTATAATCCCCATGACATCAAGAGTTCAATTATATGAAATTTTAGAGAATTTGACACACACACACACAGAGAGCAAAAAGGTGAGCAAACAAAAGATTTGGGTTGGTCCGAATTGTAGCTTGAGTTGCAATGATAATTACGACAATGCTGGTGGTACTCCAGAATGATGTTGAGGGTCTGGTCCTCCTGGTGCCATTCTCATGGTGGCACCATCCAGGATTTTCCTCCTCCGATAGCACTCCAACTTGGCTTCATCAATCCCAAACTCATGCCATGTCAAATGAGGGTTGCCTCCAGGCCTTTGTGCAGTAGATTCGAATCCAGGAGAAAGACGAGCCCCTGAAGTCGCAATAAACATGAAGGATACGATCATACCAAGCAACAGAAATCTCACAGTTCTATGCAACTTCGACATACTTTCGAAGTTCTGTCTGTACATCAGAATGAAAAGATCAGCACAAGCAAATTTTGATTCCTATAGTGATCAAGTAAGCCAAGAGAGTTGGCAATGTCTAAATAACAAGTGAACTGAGTAGTTATCCAGTGACCCAATTCTCCCATATATAGGACAAAGCTAGACAGACAAATGAAGCTGGAAGATCAGGTGATGGGACATTCTTCCACCAGGTTCAATTTTAAAGGCTGCTTTGTTAAAAATTGGCTAAGCAGATAACTCCGACAGAAAAAAGTTTGTCGTCTCCCTACATTTATATGCAATTTTCTGCTTTTTCCCAAGTCATCCGCAGTACCATACATGTGAATAATGTCTGTTATTCGTCCCAAAAACTTTAGTGCTGCCTCTTAAACTTAAACCTTTCCCTGACAGTATGGCTGCCGACTTTAGTCAATCATCCAGTCATGGGTTTGTTCTTATAGTTTCGCCATTAGCATAAGCTTCGCCTGGATTGACCAACAAAAGCAAAACAGGGCAACGAACCCTTTATTCCACCCTAGGGAATTGCATCATCTGCAACTCATCATCTTTCTGTTTTCGGTAATGGAAGATGCTTCCTAAAATCGTCATCGTCGTGTATAGAAAGTGGGAAAAAATGGTTGGATCATTCTTCGTTTCTGATGATTTTAATTGCTTCTCAATTCTCTCTGCGTTTTTTCAACCTTTTTGTTTTCGATACATTTGGAAAAAGGATATGTGAAGAACTTAAATCGGAACCAATCCACAAATATTGCAAAGAACTTGCACCATAACATGGCCATTAATGAGTTACCTTACACATTTCTTTATTTAACGTACCACTCATTCATAACACATCAGCCCGATTGACATCAAGATTTTTCAGAAACATTTACGTATTTATATTGACAACACAAGTTGGTCGTTAGACATAACCAATTATATAAGCATTTACATATTTCTCATATTTTTATTCTTGCACATAGATAGATTCTTCGAGGATAGCTTAAGAGGTAATCATATAGTACCACCACGTAAGCCAGATAGACAAGGATCATGAAACATTATGTAAGAAGTCAAAAGAGGCATGATCGTGTCCGCTGATGGTGGTTTTGCAGTCATCAAATCTACTTGGTTGGTTCAACTCCTCCATCGTCCGCGCCGCGCACCATCTGGACTGTATCGTGCAAATATTAGTAGTATTATCCCGAGACTGGAATGGATAAGTACGTCATGTTGCTTTTCCACTATGCACCACTAGAATGAAAAGCAGGAGTCGTTATATTCCAGTGCAAAGCAAAAGAAAAAATGAAAATGAGACGACGGGGTGTTTGGCAAATGTTCGAGGGGTAAGAATGGATATTAAAGTTTAGGGTAAAAACTAAAAAAGTTCGCTGTGGTAAATCTAATATATAGAAAAGTCTCATGTGATTTCAAAATATAAAACACGACACCCATACTTTGAACTAAATTATAAAGGCGACTGAATCCGTTAAACTTAATGGAAATGACTTATTAAGCAAAAGACAGTTCAAAAAAATCATTTGTTTTATTCTCTAGACAGAGAGAATGGAGGGTTAAGAGGTAAAATAGGTATATTTGTTAAAAATTAGTATTAAAAAAAAATTTTTAGGTTTCAATAAGTCATTTCCGTTAAGTTTAATGGATTCGTCACCTTTACAATTTAGTTCAAAGTATGAGGTGTCATGTTGTACATTTTGAAATCATTGGGGGCTTTTCTATGTATTAGGTTTACCACAGGGAATTTTTTTTTATATTTTACCCTAGAGTTTAATATTTCCATGCCTATTGTTTGGCAAAGTGGTATGAGAATTAATCGATGAAAATCAAAGATATTACCTTCAATCGTTCCCACTTATCATACGGGCTTTTAACCTTTTTTTTTTAATATATGTAAATGGTATGTCTCGAATTCAAAACATCTTAGTTAGATTCCCACCCCTCCATATCATTCTATGGGTTTTAACTTAAAATTTTTTTTAATAGTAGGAGAGGCTCATTCAACCCTCCAAAACTAAACACTTATAGGTGAATGGCCAAAACCCATACTCAGAGTGTAGTTTATGATTCCAATTCATTAATGCATTTACATTCTTGGGTTGCTTGCTTTTTTCTTATTTTCACATACTAACTATCTAGATTCTGTTTCATTTCAAAGGGGCAAAAAAAAATGCAAATGCAAAAGAAGAGTTATAATTTTGTGAAATTTTTTTTTATTTGACCTTTGATTATGGAGCTCGGCTAATTTATGTACTTCTAGAAATTTGGCCGTATCATTTAAAATTAATTTACACACTTGGCCCTAAGTTGTTTATATTCATAGGGAAAAATTCAAAATTAAATTCATTATGGTTTTAGAGGATATTTAAATGTGGAAAATGTTACTAGTATTTAATATGAAAACGTGACGCATTGATCAGTTTAATTATGTAAATTGCTTTCTCCTCCTCATGATTTGAAGCTGGGGGTACTCTATTACACAAGCTTGGCCTAAATCAGAAAACCAATTTATTGGCTATCCACTACCAAGAGAGGTTTAAAACTCTATTTGGATGTGCATTTTAAAATCCAAAATTTCATAAAATATTTTACCAGCGGGTGCGTAAGCATTCATTTAGATCGGTGATAGTTTAATACCCCCGAGTCTCCCTCTTGGCCCCGTTGGATCACCTTTCCTCCCCATAGTATAGAATAAGAATATATCTATCGTATTTGGAAAGAAAAAAAAAAAGGCTATCCACTCCAACTTAGGAAAAAATAATTGGCAAACGTAGTAGGTCACTGTCTTACCCAGAAACAATCTTGCCAGCGAGTAAATTTTTAGCCAAAAGTATAAAATACTTGGGGGTGATGTGGCCATTGCATCGACGGCCTTTAGTTTAATTAACAGATCGATTATTACAAGGTCCACCATTGTAATTAGATTTAGATGCCAAAGAAAACGAAGAAAGAATTAGTAGTTTAACATCCATTTTCATTTTGTATCTTCATGAAGGGCCGACCACAAAGTAATATTAGTACTAATATATAAGCCTTAATATAGCGCATCATATATACAGGAGATCGATCAAAGAGATATATATCCAAAATAAACGTCCTCTGATTCGTCATCCCTTTTGTAACAGCTCAACATCAAAGTTGAAAAGTGTAGAATCCTTTATTGCCCGCAAATGACGAGTTACATCTCAATCCAGCCTAAAGATGACCAGTACATCGGACCATGCATGCATTTACGTAAAGCCAAAAAAAGACTACGAAAACAGTAAAAAGTAGAATGGAGATAAGAGGAGAAAAATCGAATACGAGAGAGATGGATAATTGATTTGCCCTAATCCAAAATCGAATACGAGACCCTATATATGATGTGATGAATCAATGATGATGGGGATCAGGTCCTCCAGGGGCAAAACGATTGGCATCATACATGCCTCGACGGGGAAATGTACCTTGTTTTCTTGAACTCGCTTTGAGAATTTCTTGTGCTTTCTCCATCGACGTTTCTTTCCCATTACTGTATGAAAATACATGAGGATCACTACTACGACTTTCTGAGCTCGAAAGAGAGATTAGTAGGACAAGAATGAAGCAGAAGCAGAACCTCAGTTTAGCCATCCTTGGAAGTATATGACTAATTATTGGCAATGCATGTGGAGATTATAATGGGTGATGGGGGTTTATATAAGCCTCCATTGACAAGAATTTAATGATATTTAATCCATGAAACAGGTCAAATGGACACCAATTCATATTGAGGGTTACTGGACACCACTTGAGAGTGATGAAAGTGGCCGGGAGCACATTCATTCATAATGCTTGCTTAAGTAAAATGAAAGTTTGTGTTTTTCTATCATTCTTGAATTAAATTTTCTTCGTGTTGATGATTCTATTTGACCTCCAAAAATGACATATTCAATGACCGACGTGGGTTGAAAACTTTGTTTGATTTCTTTATATAGTTCTTGGATGTGGGATTGCCATATGTATGCAGCGCAGATTTATTTGCCGCCTTTAATTTCTTCATATTCAAAGAAAGCCATTGCACCAATGTATCCTCTTCTAAGTGATAATATAATCACACATCATAATCCTAAAGATATGCTGCAGACGAATACTTCTCCGCTCCATCGCTTTAATTTTGCTTTAAAGCTGCTAGAAGAGTTAACTTCTGCCTAGTCACAAGGGTCTGGACATATGTTGCTGCTGATGTTTTCTTTTCCTCTAAAGTCTCAATTTGATCGCTTTTGTTAATAGTCCAATTAAGACAATATGTCTCGCAATATTCTAATTTTTCCGTTCAACCTAGCTAGATGAAATCGAAGGTCATACTACCAGGCAATCTTCCCCTAAACTAAAGCAAGGATTCAATAAAGTAACTTATCCATTGTCGGTTTCTAGATGAAATTGAAGGTCATATCTTCTTCTTTGGATTGTGATTCTCCGCAGAAAAAATTTTAGATTTTTCGTGAACACATTTTTCAATCACATCCTTATCTCATATACGTCAAATCGTTACATTTCATTTTTTCTACAAAAACTTTTAAAAATAGCAATCCAAACGAGCAAGCTTCCTGTAGAGTCTAAATTCATACGCTTTCATTCTAAAGTCGCCTAACCATGAAATGTTTCGATTAAGTGCGTGCTAAGGTAAGACCACATACATGTTGCTAATGAATGTCCAAAGTAGGAGTTTATCCTAACGATTGGTTGATGATATATCAAATCCTAGTTATGAACTAAAAAATGTTCAGCCAGCTTTGAAAACCATTTGTGATGGACAAACTGCAAATTAGGTCATGCAGTGTGCTGTACCACAAGAGCTTAGACTGAACCGGAAAATGTTGGTTGAGTTTGGAAGTCATTGGACAATGGTGATCGACACAAGCAATCATTAACACAGAAGTTGACCTCTGTAGAACACACTAGCTTTAATGATCAAATGAAGATTTGTTTAGGAGTTGATCGTACTAAGTGGTCGAACAAGATGACCACTCTTTTCACTTTTATTCCCTAACAGTCCAGCCAAAAAGTGCCCGACCAACCAATATTTATATCAGCCCAGAAACCTTTCATGATTTGAAACGTTAC